AGTAGTTTGAGGCCTGATACATATTTCATACTTCGGTGTTTGCCTGCATCCTACATTAAATAAACATTTACCAAGCTTTCACTGGATGCCAAATGCTATGCTGAGGCCAGGACATACAGTCAGTCTGCCCCCCAGAGGCTCAGAATGGAGCAGGTGATAGAGGCATCTATGCCAATAGTCCTAATGCAACGAAAGCACTGCTGGAAGAGGTAGACTGCTGAATTTCAGAGCACAGGCACCTGATCCATCCAGAGATAATACTTGAGCATGATCGTGGAAGACAGACAGTCAAAACACAGGAAGAAAGGCTGGACAGAAAAAGGAAAAGGTGAAACAGCGCAAACCAAGTCTTAGAGACCTAGTGAAGTACAGCCTAATTAAGCACACTCTTAGAAGCTCCATGTAATGCACTAAGCTGAAGGCATCTGAGGAAGAGCAACAGGGGGTGAAGCAGAAAGTTGAAAACGTCACAATAATGAAGGGTTATTTATGTCATCCTTGGGAAGCTAGGAGACTTTCTCATGTAGGTAATGAGGGGCTGTGGTAAGATTTGAAGAAAAGGGATGAGATGTTGTATGGATTTTAACAGCCCTGGGAAGACACATTTAAGGAGAGCAGAAAAAAAAAGTGGGGGTACGCTATTTTTTTTTTTGACAGGCAGAGTGGACAGTGAAAGAGAGAAACAGAGAGAAAGGTCTTCCTTTTTGCCGTTGGTTCACCCTCCAATGGCCACCACGGCCAGCGCACTGCAGCCGGTGCACCGCGTTGATCCGATGGCAGGAGCCAGGTACTTATCCTGGTCTCCCATGAGGTGCAGGGACCAAGTACTTGGGCCATCCTCCACTGCACTCCCTGGCCACAGCAGAGAGCTGGCCTGGAAGAGGGGCAACCGGGACAGAATCTGGCGCCCCGACCGGGACTAGAACCCGGTGCCAGTGCCGCAAGGTGGAGGATTAGCCTAGTGAGGGGGTTCACTATTAAGAGACTGTCTCACTATTCCATATAAGCAATGAGAACCTGAATAAGGTAGCCACAGCGGTGTTGCAGAGGAGAAAGCAGAGACAACAGGAATTTAGGAGTTAAAATCAATGAGATTTTGTGATTGATTTGATGTGGTTGAAAAACAAGATGGAGGAGCCAGAGAGTCTGCACAGGGTGCTGAGATGGCTGAGGCTGCCATCCACCAACAGAGGAAACAGGAAGGAGGAAAAGGTTTGGGGGAAGGGTGAGACGATGAGTTCTGCTTGACAAATGATGAGTCTTGAGGTGCCTGTGGGATATCCAGGCAGTGAGCCTAATGGAATCCAGGCCACAGGCTTGCAAGAAATGGCATTGCCTCAGACTTCATTCCTAAGGCCCAATTTTTATGATTTAGGATAACATGCCTGTATTCTAACCATCAACTCATTCACTACCAGACTCCTAAGAGGGGACCTTTGTGCCCAGGTTCCTTCGGACACCTTGGCAAATCACCACACTAAACTGACCCTAAGAGACTGGTTAATAGACTTCCAAAGGAAGCCATATGGCCAGGCTGATTAGGATCTTATTGAGCTGGATATCCATCAGGGGAATATTCTACTCCCTGATATATTCTCTTCTAGACCCTGAATAGGCTATTTGGGAGGTGGGTGGAAGGGGTACAAGAGTGGGGGGTGAAAGGGTGGGAACATTTATTTTGTATTTGGTATGTGCCCTGTGCTGTGAGGTACACTTCACATACATAGTATTACCTAATCCTAGGTAAGCATACTGTCTGATATCTAAGCCCATGCATTTTCCTGTCTACCATACTCCACAAGTGTTGATGCCAACCACATGTCAATCTTTCATTATCTTATAGAGAAAAAAAAAAAAAACAGGGAAAAATAGAAAATTAGCCTTAGCTTGTGAACTGCTAACAAATCATGTGGTCCAGATAATGACATTATTGTAGCCTTATACCATTTTGTCTGTAAAATGCATGTGATTCACATTATAAAAAAAAAAATTAGAAGCTTCCAGTCTATCCTCCACTCCTCAGTGATGGCTACCAAATGTATCATTGCTAAACCACAAAAGACTATGTTAAAGTAACATTTGTTAAAGTGACATTAAAGGCTCTGGATGAAAACCACTAGAGCGGGAAACTGAAGCATTAGAGTTGAAACTTCTCATAACTTGCTTGTGGTGCATGGCACGGACAGTGCAAGCGCTGTGAGACCACCCACTGATTCAAGGTTCCCACCACCGCAAAGAGACATAACAAGAGAAAACTGTGAATACCCTGGCTTTTCACAATTCAGATGGGACCGATAGTATTTCTCTTAAAGAAATTATTCAGTGCCTCTCCGTATCTTCCCAGTCATATTTTAGAAACAGGAAAAAAAAAAAAAGGCTGATTTTTTCTTCAACTTGGTTTGGAAAAGCAGGATGTGAGACGCCTCTCTCACTTCTCTCTCCAGCCAAGAGAGGACATCTGTCAAGTGCTAACAGGATTATAATCCCCTCCTTGAAAGGCATAAAGACACATTCAGGGAGCTACAAGGGTCAAGAGTAAGCTACAAACTAATCATGGCTCCTTCCTGTGCCAATGCCAGTAAATATTATAGACCTGAAATGTACCTTTCACAACCGGAAACTCCAGCAGGCAGTGAGAGATGTGAGAATAGAAGGAAAAAGGGACCTTTGGGGTAGGGTCTGCCCTTCTTCAGATCAGCTCCAGCATTTATTTACTTAGTGAGTCCATCAACAAGCATTAGTTGAGAAGCTACAATGTTCCAGGTCTTGAGGAAATAGAAATTTATAGGAGACTGGTTCCTTCCCTCAAGGAAATCATAGTCTAATTCCAAGGCAGTCAAGCAAACACACAATTAAAATGGCACAGCATGCGTGTCACAACACATTTGCAGTAATTGCTCTAGCAGCACAAAAAAGAAACCAGAACTTCCCAGAAGGGAAATTATATCAGTGGAGACTTCACTAAGATATTGACACTGAACCTTCAGGTATCAGAAGTTGACTTCAAGATATTGATAGAGAAGCAAATCTGAAGCACAGGAAAGAGCATGTTTAAAAACATGGAATTGCAAACAACAACAACAACAACAAACTTGTACTAAGTTCAGCTGACCAAAGTTTAGAATGGAGGGTGGTCTCATGATGGAGGATATGATTAAAGACATATTCAAATCCTAGATTGCAAGGAGCTTTTCATGTGGGGAGAAGATATTTGGATTTTATTAAGCCAAGAATGAGCTCTGTAGAGGTTTTTAAGCAAGGAAACAATATGAGAACTAGATCTTTTGGGAAATGTTCAATGGTTTGTCACTTAATGAACAGGTACATGATATTAGTTCTTCTATGTGTCAGGCAGGGGCATGATAAACCCAGTAGAGAAACTGGGAAGGAAGAATCTGACACCAGAGTGAAAAAAAAACAGCTCTGGTACTGAGACTATTGGCATTGAGAATTACTCCCTTCAAATGGGGCACAGTTGGAGTAAGGATGAACCATTCAAGTCCTCATCCCATTCTTTTCTTCCATGCCCACATGAGGGAAGACAAACAGAGCAAATTACCCTTACACTCACATAAGATTGAGCCCAAGAGGAAAATCAAGCAAGGAAGCAGGCAGTAGTGAGATAGGATTAGTAAGGTGCCAGAAATCTCTGAATATACAGAGAAGCAGGGCTTCCTCACTAAGGGGTAAAGATGCCCCACTTTGGGGGACTATGGTTTTAGCCTCCCTAAATGGCCATCTCTGAGTCTCAGGAAGCAATAGTAAAGAGATGCAATGACAGTCATTATATGTTTTCCCTAGGATTCCGCACTCAAGAAGCCAGAATAAAAATGTTCCAATAGTCTTGCTGAGTTATAAAGGCCCTATTTCCAAAGCATGGAACATACTGGGTTGGTCAGAGGTACACAGAGTAAGGTTGCCAGAAAGTGAGTCTCCAAGTTCAATAATGTCCTGGAAAACACTGGAATACATAGCCTGAGTCAGGATGTCCTCTTCATCCCACTGGCATCTTAAGTTATTATGGTCCGTGATCAGCACAGGTCAGAGGATAGAAATCTGAATGCCTCAGGATGCTTGCAACAGGTCCAGTCCTACACTGCTGTGCCCCTCCTGGGAAAGGCAAATGATGGAGATGAAGTTAGACTATTTGCTGCAGCCTCTGTGCCAGTTTCGTTTGAGAGGGGAAAGCCATGTCTGCTAAAGATGAAAATGTCCTGTTTAGTCTTCCGCTCCCACCACCCTTCCAAAGGAGCTCGGAAGAGGACAGACAGGAGAATCAAAGCCCATCCTATAGGCTCTTAAGGAAGTTTTCCAGATAGACAAGACACCTTGAGAAAATCATGTCTTCTTTATACTCGGCTTCTAAACTGGAAAGGAGCAAACAAGATACTTGCTAGAAATCAGACACAAAAATCAAACTAGGTTTCAAATTTTACTGGGCTTCTTGTTTACCTAAAGTGTTAAGCTTATCTTCCCAGTCTTATACTCACATACTAGTATATACAGCATACGTCACTTAACAATGGGAACACATTATGAAAAATAGGTCCTTAGGCAATTATATCCTTGTATAATCAGAGTATACTTATACAAACTAAGACAGCTACGATGTCACTAGGCAATATACTGTGATGGGCTCACCTTTGTATATGTGGCCCATAATTAACCAAAATGTCATTATGTGGTACGTGACTGTATATGGAAAAAATTTTTTTAAAAAGTCCTAATTTCAGGGAAAAGTCCACATAAACTACAACTTGAGCCAACCCCACTTCCCCATACATTACCAGGAGTTGGTAAACCTTAAAAGGAATACTGTCTGACTCAAGCCAGACAACTGGCCCCTTAAGAACACATTTATAATTTATTTATAGCTTAATATTTTCCACTGATAGGATTAATAAATCATGTTTTCATTCAACTGGTTTTCTCTGAGGTACGAATTTCTCTATTTTGATACCAGATCTTAACATGTTTTATTTTGCTTGTCCATTTTCCAGTTCATTTTTGCAGCTACAGGGAGAAATTTATTGGTCTGTATTGCCGCCTTTCTGCTGTTGTTGAGCTGGATTCTCTGAATACTCAACAGTCCCTAAGGGAGGCGATCTCAGACAGCGAGGTTGCCGCTGCCAAACAAAAACACCAGCAAGTCTTAGACTTCATTCAGGTAATCGTTTGTCTCTGCTGAGGTGGAAGGGAGAAGGAGAGGCAGGGTGGGAGGGGTGAACATCAACCATGGGAAAGAAAAGCAGTCTGGCTGGCTCAAAGAACTCAGCATACAAGCTACCTGGTGATTTAGTTAAATGTGGAGCTCAAGAAGATGTGTGTTTACAAACAAAGGCTTAAGAGAAAACTACAGATAAAATCACAAGATTACTAAGAGCTTTATCAGTCACCACCATAGGTAGCAGTGGCTTTCCATTTTAAAGAGAAAACCCATCCCCAGAAGTAATAGAATATTACTTTTACCTGAAGAAGAAGTAGAATATTCTTACCTGGTAGCCCCCTGATAACTCCAACAGAAAGAAAAACTATTAATTAGCTTAATATTTGAGGTGGGGCAAGGGGAGAGAGGGAGACAGAGGAGAGAGGGGAGGGGGGGAGGGGTAAGAAGGGGAGGGAATAGGAGGAGAGAGAAGGAGAGAAGGAAGAAAATAACTCACCAGTGTACATTAACACAAATCCAGTTAGCTCTAAGAATCCTACAGTTTGGGACTTTTGTCTGGCAACAGTTGACATGTTAACATGTGGCTAAATGAGGTCAGAAAATGTGTTCCCTGTCCATGGAAAGGCCTGGTAGTGTCATCTCAGGGTCTAATTTGGATCTGGCCTGAAATTACCTCTAAATTCCCTTGGTCAGAGCTTAACACTCTGTCAGTTACCCAATGCACAAAATTAGTATAATAGTAATATCCTCGAGACCGCCACTGTAGTACAATGGATAAGCCACCGCCTGTGACACCAACACCCCAGGAGTGCCTGTTCAAGTCCTGGCTGCTCCACTTCTGAGCCAGCTCTCTGCTAACTCATCTGGGAAGGCAGCAGAAGATGGCCAAAGTGCTTGAGCCACTGCCACCCATGTAGAAGACCGAGATGGAGTTCCAGGCTCCTGGCTTTAGCCTGGCCCAACCCCAGCCATTTGGAGAATAAATCAGCAGATGCAAGATCTCAGTCTTTCTCTGTCTCTCCCTCGTTAACTCTGCCTTTCAAATAAAAAAAAATAGTAACAGCCTCATGATAAATATCACTATAATAGATGAGGGTATTTCCAAAAGTTTATGGAAAATGAAAACAAAATATAAGCTTACTTGAGTGCAGAAGTATTCTGAAAGTCATGTATAGTTTTTTCATAATAAGCAATTTTTTTTTTTTTTTTTTTTGGACAGTGAGAGAGACAGAGAGAAAGGTCTTCCTTTGCTGTCGGTTCACCCTCCAATGGCCGCCGCGGCTGGCGCACTGCGGCCGGCGCACCGCGCTGATCCGATGGCAGGAACCACGTGCTTATCCTGCTCGCCCATGCGGGTGCAGGGCCCAAGCACTTGGGCCATCCTCCACTGCACTCCCTGGCCACAGCAGAGAGCTGGCCTGGAAGAGGGACAACCGGGACAGAATCCGGCGCCCCGACCGGGACTAGAACCCGGTGTGCCGGCGCCGCAAGGCGGAGGATTAGCCTAGTGAGCCGCGGCGCCGGCCTCATAATAAGCGCTTTCCGTGAACTTTTTGAGGAACTCTCAATTTAATTTCATAAACATTTGTTAAACATCCAGACATCAGGCACTGCATGAGAAATGCAAAGTTGAATTAAAATTGTCTCTGAACCTAAGGAGTTTAAAATCCAATAGGGTAGACAAGAAATGTATGTAAATACTATTTGTAAAATGTGTGAAGTACCAAAAGAGAAATATAAAAAAAAAAAATTCTGTGCCTAAACAAAGATCTAAAAATTTACTTTCAGTTATAAGAAAAGTTGATAGAGGGGCTATAACTGATAGGTAAACTGGGTCTAAAAGGATAGATATGATAATAGTTAAGAGAAATAGAATGTAGACTATTTATGGAGAAAGTATAAACATACAAGGCAAAGCAAGCAGAAAAAATAGTATTTGGAGAATTAGTAGTCAAGGGTTAATGAAGCATAAACTGAGTGATGAACAGCAGTCAGAAATTAGGCAAGAATGAAAGATGGCAATGCGATCAGATCACAAGGGCTATGTTAAAAGCCAAACTAAGAAATGTGTACTCTATTCTATAGGTAAGAAGGAGCTAGCTGACATTTTAGAGAAACTGGGTTATAGCCCATTATAGCTTTGTTTAGGACAGATTCAGGCAGAAGGGATTTTTTTTTGTATGTACTGATACAGCCACAATGGTTGCTTATTGAAAGCCTTCATTCTGGTAAGACAGGCTCACCAATTTACATATCTTTCCTAGATTTAAGGAGAATTCTAAAAATAGGAAAACCAGGTAAATTACAATCATCTAGACTGGGGATGGGGAACCTTTTTTCTGCCAAGGGCTATTTGGATATTTATAACATTCGCAGGCCACAAAAAGTTATCAACTTAAAAATTAGCCTGCTATATAGACTTATTGAATTTCAGGTCCCACTTGTGGTTGCCTTGTCGCAGCCAGACCAAATGATTTCACTGGTCAGACATTCCCCACCTCTGATCTAGATGAAAAGTAATGATGATTAAGATGAGGAAATGCCCTGAACTCTGGGCAACTAAATCTAAGTCCCGATCTTTCCTCGTGTAAAATGGGAATAACAGTAATAGTACTACTTCAGACTGTTACTCAAAGATTGAAATGAGATAATGCATGTATAACACTCAGCAAAGTGGCTGTACATCATAACATGTAATAAATTCATTCATTCATTGATAAGAATAAAAATCCTTTGAGATATGAATATGCAATACTTGAGGTTTTTTACGTATGCAGGAAGAAGATACTATAATGACCCTTCTCAAGTGATGAGCTGACAGATTTTTAGGGTTTTCCTACTTCACTAATTCTGTAAATGTGTTATCCTGGGTAACCTCTCAGACTAAAGAAATAACCTTTGAAAAGTTGCTCGCTGTCTTAAGAGTGTACTAGTTAAAAATTCAAAACATTTATGTCATTTCGCTTCCAGTAAAAATCGAACACAGATGGTGGGGAAAGAGTGGGAAAAGAAGGCAGGGGCCCAAGAACAGTGTGGAAGGCTGGCTTATCTTCTGAATCCAATAGTGAGGAAGACAGTGAGAAAGGATAACAATGGACCAGAAGTCAAGGAGCACACATTTTGAGTCCTGAATCTTCTACTGATAAACTCTTCAGGGGTCTCAACTGCCTAATATGCATAATGAAATGACTGGACTAGATGACTTATAAAGGCCTAATAGGGCGCTAACATTTTATAGCTTACCAACCAGAAATATTTTTAGAGAAATTCTTCTCTAATCATGCCTTAGCTTGTGTTTCTGTCTCATTTCACTTAAGCTACCCTGAATTCAGTATGTTCACCCAACAATGATAGTCTGTCAACTCAAATACCTCCTAGAGTTCTTGGCTTCACTGTCATTCACTGACTGCTATCCTGGCTCCTTTCTTTTTTCACCTAGCCTAGTACTCTACTGCCTTTTTCTCTTCATATTCATCACACCATTTAGTGACTGATAAAGGCAGCCCGGATCTCTTCAAGGTCTTTCTGATCTAGCTCCTTAGCAGGTATTTGAGAAGTCCTCTTCCTCTTAGTGACCAGGTACACACAGAGTTGATAAAGCCATTCGCGGAGGTTTGAAAATTATTTGTGGACAGGGTAAACCAGACCATCTCACAGCACCCACAGACTTCAGTGGACCACCTTGGGCTACCCAACATGAATGACTTCACTGAACGCCAATAATTCTAAGTCATCTTCCCCACTCCCCGCCTGCCCCCATCCCCTTATCTATGTTGACTGACCCTCTTCTCCCTCTCCCTCCCTCCCTCCCTCCCTCCCTCTCTCTCCCTCCCTCCCTCTCTCTCCCTTTCTCCCTCTCTCTCTCAAAATGAAAACCAGCTGCAGCCACTCACCCATTGGTGTTCACAGCTCAGCCCACCACACACCATAACCTGCAGAGGCGAGCGCCAGTCGCAAGAGCATTTGTATGAATCCAGATCTAAGACAGTGTTGAAGTCACTACACAAACCAAACATTGTAAAGAGCAAGGGAGTCTATGTAAATACAGTGAGGAAAAGAAGCCAAGGAGTACAGCCAGAAAGGGGGAGGGCTGGACCATGGGAGGTGTAGAAAATCACAGATAAGGTACACAGGCTTTATAGACAGCACACACAGCAGAAATGTCAAAGTGAGTGTAAAAAAAAAAAAAATAAGAAAGAGAAAGGAAAGAAATGTCAAAGCGTGGAGACCTGGAGCTTGGCATATTTGAGCTGCTAAAGCCTAAAGGGCAATTAGGCTATAATTTATATACTGTAATGCTTCAAATGCTCCTAAGCTGTTACTAGAAACACAGCTCATTGAATCAAGCCAATTTATCATTCCCTCAAGCACCTTGTAGCTGTGCAGTGAGAGAGCCAATCACCTTTACATTTTAATAAAAATATTGTCTTGCCTGAGTACAGAGAAAGGGGTGTAATTTATGAGATGAAAACTGAATTTTTTAAAGGACAAAGTGAGAAATGGATGCAGAACTTTTAATCAACAAAACTATGGAGTTTGTGGTCTTTTTAAAAATGTGTCAGCACGTCTTTAGAAGCTGAAGTTGGACCTTAAAATCAGGGGGGATTATGTTGTCAGTTGCTTTTAGATCAATAGTATACAGTAAAATGGGTGAAAATTGTACTTCTTTTTTGGATCTATTTAGCTAAGTCCCATTAAACTCAAACTACAGGCTTCCCTGTACCTATGGTTACTTCATTTTTCTTAAAACCTCTTTACCTCACCAGAGAAAAAGAAGCAAACATTGTTTCAACACAAATCTTAAATGATTTATACATGAAATCTCTGTCCATCCCAGAATACGCTGAAACAATCTTATCCAAAAAGAACAGAAGGGTTATTATAATTGAGTTCATTTTTGATGGCTACTGTAATGAATTAGAACAAACTTAAGTGGCTTAAAACAACAGAAATGTATTTTCTAACAGTTCTGGAGACCAGAAGTATCACATTCAGGTGTTGGCAGGGCCATACTCCCTCTCAAGGCTCTAGGGGAGAATCCATTCTCCGTTTTGTCCAGCTTCTGGTGGCCAAGGGCCATTCTTGACCTGTGCCCACATCACATAAATCTGCGCCTTAATCTAAATCTCGCAGCATTAAAAGTAGCTATACATGTGTAACTTCACCCAATCATCACAGCAACCCTGTGTGATATAAAAGGAAAAATGTTTTGTCACATTTTAATAGTAAGGGAACTAAGGCTAAGAAAGGGCAAGTGACAGGCTAAAGGTTATTACAGAGATAATAAGTGATGTATCCAGCTAGAATCCTGGCCTTCTACTGTTTGCATTAAATGAATGACACAGTCTCTCAGGTAAAAATTGCAAACTATTAGCAATGACAAAGAAAAGATATTTTCTGGCTTAGCAAAAACTATGTTTAAAACATTTTACTCTTGCTCAAAACCAATACTGTAGAACATGGATCATAATGGACTCTCTGGAAGTCTTACTAAGTTTTAATAGTAGTTTAATAACTTGATGTCTTTACTCTTTTATTCCAAAGCAAATAGATGAAGTGTGGCGTGAAATGAGATGGATCATGGATGCTCTGCAGTATGCAAGATACAAACAGCCAGTTTCTGGCCTGCCCATCACTAAGCTGATAGACCTCTCAAATGAGCAGAACCTAAAAAAGATCAATTCTACATCATCACATATAGACTGTCTTCCATCACCATCACCATCCCCAGAGATGCACAGAAGAAAGGCAATGAGTGGTAAGCAGTAAGATCTACAGTTCAATGCCTCCCTAACCAGCATTTTCATCCTCTCCTCACAGGTGAGGTTCTTTGTGCTAAGCTATTAGTTCCATCAAGTAACAGGAAATACCATTCAGTGGTAAGAGTCTAAAAGCATTGAGGGGACAAACTAGAAAAATGGAGAGAGAGGAAATTAGTGGAGGGATAGGAAACCTGAGATCAACTCCATATAGATTCCAGTCCAGTTCTAGACCATCCCTCCAAGATACAAAAGGACACACAGCAAAGATGAGGCTTTAGACATGTAGAGTGGGGACTGCTGGATGCCAGGGAAAGACCAAGTCAGCCAGGGAAATCTAACTAAAATCATATGAGGATGGAGATCAGGACCAACCTCTAGTAAAGAGGTGCTGACAAGAATGAGGCAGGAAACAGGTCCCAACCTGGGTAAGAGCTCCAGGGCAACTTCTAATATTCTGAGGTAGAAGACAGGAAAGAGAGAACCCTTGGTGAAACTAGACTACTGAAACTGAGGCCAAATAAGTAGCTTAGCATCATGATCGAATATGAAAAACTTACAAGCTGGAAGAGAGGCCTAGCAAGGCACCTCCCCTTTTAGAAACTAACACTGAGTTGACATGGCAAATAAAAACAGCAAAACCATGACTGGGTTCACAGAAACTTCTACCTTTATAGTTTTAAGCAAAGAAGAAGTAGATGAACCCAAAGCAATACTATATAATATTCTTTCCCATGACATGGTGAAACTAGTGCCATTTTTCTAGTCAATTAAAATTATGGTCATTCAAAGCATTTTTCTTTATTCTATAGCTTACTAGAGTTCCAGTTTTGTAATTTTCATAATAGTATTTTTAATAAATAGTTCTGATTTGTGGGCTTATCCTATAGGGGGCAGCATGGTGTAGCAGAAAGAGTCTGGGCTTAGAAATCAGAGACCTGGATTCAAATCTCAGCTTTTTTTAACCAGTTGTATGAACTTGAACAGATTACTGCATTCAAGTCTTAGTTTCTATCTATGTAAAATGAGGATAATATCTATATCTTGAAGAGTTACTTAACAAATAAAACAATCTGCATCAGAGATGTACAAAAATCATATATGCTTATATATGAAATACATTAAAGTAATTTATAAATATATTTAATGCTGTTATTATTATAAAAAATTTTAGCAAGGGGATGATCCTTTTCTATAAATAAGTTAGTATGTACTCCTGTTTTTAAAAACCTCCAATATCTAAAAACTAAACTTGACAACTAAAAGAACTTATTTAACATTATCAAAGGAGTCTATAACATCAAATAATTCAACAAAAGAATTATTTAAATAGAAGTTTCTAGAATGCATTTTTATAAATTCCCACCAGGCTTGGGTACAAATTAAATATCATCTTTGCCAGAAATTAGAGCAGAGACAGATTAACATTAACCAAAAATTGCATGATAACTGCATATGTGCTACGGAGTCTACTAGAAATGTTAAACCTTACATTTTTAAGATCAGAGACCTCTTCCTGGAGGCAACAGAATCCAGAAGAGTCATGTAAGAAGGAACTGAGAAGAAAAAGAGGAGAGCATTAGATGCAGAAGCAGCATATTGTACAACTGTTCTGTGGTTTAGGGAACTAGAAGCAGTCTGGTTAAGAGTATAGATCTAAAGATACTTTTCTTTTTTAGGGTTTTTTTTTTTGCTTTTAAAATATAGTTACTGGTTACCTACTACCTACATGCCAAGCAGTCTTCAAAATAACAGAGATACAGTGATAAACAAAGTAAAGTCTCTGCTCCCATAGAGCTTACATTGTAGAATGAGTGACAAACAATGAAAACATAAACAAACAAGATAATATCAGATAGTGAAAATTCCAGTGTATAATACAAAACAGCAATCAGAGTGGGAGTAGGCAAGGAGATGCTGATTTCACCAGGATGATCAGCAGAGACCTATCTGCAAAGATGACATTCAGGACAGCCACAGAAAGTGGAGGCAGAAATGCAAAGATCTGACTGAAATATTCCAGTCAGCAAATCAGCAAGACTCTGAGAAGGGTGAGGGATGGAAAGAAGGCCAAAGTCCTTAGAGCAGAATGAACAAAGAGGTGAGTGGTAAAAGATAGGGTTGAAGGGGAGATAGGGCCTGAATGGGCAGGGTTCTGTATGCCCTAAGAAGTTTGGAGTTTACCCTACTTGGGACAGAAAGCCATTGGAAACTTGTAAGCAAGAGGATTGGTATGATCTCTACAACTCTTTAAAGTCAAATCTTGCAACTGTATGAAGAGATCACAGAGGGAAAATATTGGAAGCAGGAGATCTAACAAAGGAGATACCAAGCTTGCAGGCTTGGATGACTCTCAGGGTAACAAGATGTTATTTACCAAAACAAAGTAAGAAAGGAGGAGAAACAAGCTTGAGTGGTGGGGCGTGTTGAATCTGAGCTAGCTTTGGGACATTCTTCATAAAAAGAAACATTCAGGAGAACACAAGATGTAGAGAGTCCACAGCCCAGGAAAGAAAACCAAGCTAATAATACAAATTTAAGAAACTGTTGACATGTACATGATGTTTGAGCCTGGAAAATGCTCGAGTTCCCCTAGAGAGAGTAGGCAAAACAGGAAGAGGAGACTGTGAAAGGATCCATGTGGAATGAAGTAGCAAGACTTCCTAGGCTGAGAAGGAACAACCAGAGAAAGATTAAAAAGAGGGTAAGCAGTGTAACAAAAAGTGTCTCAAAAGATGGAAAGAGGTTAAATAAAGCTGAAATGCTTCCATTATGTTTGCTTTTATCGATGAGGGAAGCATCAATAACCTCAATGAGAGCAATTTGTGAAGGGAAAGAGCTAGACGCAGAACAGAAGTAGATCAGAAAGTAAACGCAAGGTGAAGCAGTGGGACAGGATGATGCATTCTTAAAATCTTGGCTGTAAAAGGCAAGACGGAGGGAAAGCAATAGCTGGAGAAGTACAGAGTTCAAAGGGCATTTTTTTACAAAAAAATGTGTAGGAATGAAATGAACATTTTGTGATATGGTTGTCTTTTTTAACCCTTGTTTATACTACTGAAGAACTGTGGTCTTTTCGACATTTCACTTGCTGAATATTATGGATTGTGGTGAATTAAGCCTGTGAACACAGAGTAGATTAAAATTATGTCTTTGTGGCCGGCACCACGGCTCAGTAGGCTAATCCTCTGCCTGCAGCGCCAGAACACTGGGTTCTAGTCCTGGTCAGGGCGCCAGATTCTGTCCCAGTTGCCCCTCTTCCAGGCCAGCTCTCTGCTATGGCCCGGGAGTGCAGTGGAGGATGGCCCTAGTTCTTGGGCCCTGCACCCGCATGGAAGACCAGGAGAAGCACCTGGCTCCTGGCTTCGGATCAGCGCGATGCGCTGGCCGCAGTGCACCGGCCACAGCGGCCATTGGAGGGTGAACCAACGGCAAAAGGAAGACCTTTCTCTCTGTTTCTCTCTCTCTCACTGTCCACTCTGCCTGTCCAAAAAAAAATATGTCTTTGCAAAAACTGATCAAGAAAAGGAAGGGAAAGAAGTGTGGTTGTCTTCTTGGAACTGTACCTATGAAATACATGAATTTGTTCTTTATATTAATAAAAAAGAAAATATAAAACTTATTTTATTAAAAAAGGGACTTTTTTTAAGACAGGAAAGAGATGCTCTCTGATGTCCCACAGTTAGTATAATCTACAAACAACTTTCCAGTTTTCCTTCTAACTTCATAGTTCATCTGCCCTCTCTGCTCACAGAACTTTCCAGTGTTCAATCTCTTGGCCACAGGGTCCTTAGTGGGTTCCTCCTTGGCTGTATGAGGGTGGCCTCCTCTTTGCCATAGAAATGCCAGACTCACACTGGCCAGAGGACAGGGTTACACACTCCCTGCAGGGTGTATCTGGCCAATTACTTTCAGATTTTATTACTAATTTAAAATGTGAGTGATCATCATTCTGTTTCTTAAAATATAACTCTCTCTTGGGTCCATTTATTTCTCTGAAGCCAAGATTCCATGGGCTGTGAAACACAAAGATGTGGAAGGCAGCAAATGACAAATGGAATCCAGTGACAGGGAAGTACTGTTGAGAAACACTGAGCATCTTATCCCCTGGCAAAAGCAGGAACATTTCAGAGCAATGAATTCTACCACAGCATACTCTGTCTTCTCCACAAGTGTGACCACTTCGAATTGTTTGGAAACCATTAATGAAAGGGGAAAATATCCAATTTAGAGGAACATCCCCGCTGGGGTTACTCACAGGGCAAAGTGTGCAGCACAATTCCATTCTGTGTGGGTCTGGTTCACCTAATTTCTAAAGGGCCTGCTGGAAATACACAACCTATCACAAATCTAGCCTCTGGTACCAGCATACGATCCTGCTTTAAGGCTGTTGAGTCCCTTGGATTTGTTTGTGCATATCTGTTGGGAATGAGGAGGTGGGGAGTATGTGTGGTTTTCAAAACACAAAGTAGAACTCCTCTGAGTCAATTAAAATTAAGCATCTCCCAAGGACCCAAGGGGGAAAGCTGGCTCTTAGAAAAGGCAGCTCAAGGCAGGGGCTGAAACTACTTGGTCCATCACATGAATATTTTCTCTCCCACTCCTTTTCTGTGGTATAGTGGTCACAAACAGCAGCCCCTGCCTACCCCCAACACTGCTGTTTCTCCTAGTGACGCACGGGTGAAGCAATAGAGGGAAGGGGGGCATTGTTTTCTTCAGATATATCTGATAATTATCCTGATCTTCCAAATGTAAATCTTCCTATTAACCTTTTCCCAGATGATTTTAAGAACACCATGGCATAAACCAAATAGTTCAAAGAAGCAGGAATCTGGAGATGTTTCATTATTTTTCTTGGGAAATTAGAGAGTAAACAAACTTCTGAGAGTCTACCTAAAGCCTAATGAGAGATTACAATACAAACAGATTCAATGAAGTACAATATATAGACAATGATATACTAAAAATGTAAAGGTAGACCTTAGGGCAAGTGTGGCTC